TTTTCTAACAAGCTTAGTAAAGTGAGTTTATGAAAGTATATAGTGGCTTGTTTTGAAAATATAAAAATGTATTTAGGCATCAGTTTTTGATTTCATCCTGCAGCTCCTGGCAGTTATTTTTGCAATGTTTTTTTGCACAACAGTGGTTGAGATCAATGAATAATAACTCACATAATCTTACCTTACATGCAAATTACCTTTTAATATGCAAGTTCAATGAAACAGAGTCACAAATTAGGGACATTTCTGAGATGGCTTTCTAAGTGGTGTCTTATAACTAATTTAATCACTTAGTGTCGGAAATGAAGTTGCTCATAAGAGGAGACAACAGTGGAAGCTGATTTAATACAAACCTTGGAGAAAAACATGATGAAAAGAGATGACAAGATTACACTCAGATGCTACATTGTTCTACAAAAGTATTAAAGGTTTTAAATTTTTTTTACAGATTTGTCAGATTTTGTTCATTAACTTTAAAATGTGATTTTCAGCTGATTTTTATTCACAAATGAAAACTATGTTGGCCTGAACCTCCACTTTTACCTTCTACCTTTGTTTTTTGAAGTGTGACTTGTCTTGACTTTTCTAGAGAGGAAAATATTTGAAAAGTAGTTCTAGTTTTGTTTTGCAAAAAAAAAATAAATAAAAAAAATAAATAAAAACGAAGTGAGTCTTTGTTTGGAAATCCAGCATTTTTAATATGCACAATGGTGAACCTTTAAATTGTGGTTTTGGCTTTATATTTTGGCTTGCTGGAAGCTCAGCCTCCATTCCAGTCTTAAGCAGGTTTTCCTCCTCAATTTCCCTTTATTAAAGTAAAAGTCTGGTCATATTCAGAATTCAAACTTCTCAAAGTACTGTTCAATACAATATGTGTTTTTAATTAAGAGTAATTTTCATTTCAATGTGCTTTACTGGAGGCATCCACATCCATGTTTGTCAAAGAACACTGCTTCCACCTACCGGTTTGTGACGTCACAGTGCGATATCGGCTATTGATCAAGACCCAGTACTCAATCTGGTGTTTGTCAACGCGCTATTATCCACGTCATCTTGAAAACATTCTTCTTCCAAATGTTGGCTACATATTACGTGTTTTTTTTTTCTGGCCAGAAGTTCGATGGCAATTTCTCCCGCTTCAAGTTGGCAATCCAACGATGAACCCGTCCGTGGTGCATCATGAATCGGAATGGTGAAATAACAAATTTTTATTTTCACTTTTACCTGATGCATAACAAACATCCAACTGCCATGCATATGTGGGCATTATAACTTTAACAATAGCTCTCGAAACAGCGAATTTTCAATGGTGAGGTCCTCTCGTAATATTAGATAATTCTTGTTGATTGCAGGTCTGTATAATAGTTCTCATTGATTTTGCTTGTAAAGCGGGGAGAATGGAGCTAGGCTTACCGCACCGTGACGTCACTGCCGGAAGTTGTCAGGAGGGAGGTGTTACTATATTTGGGCATAAATGGCCGCTCCCTGACTCCCAAATTTTTAATGATCCATTGATTATTCCTTGCTGACCGGACTTTTCCTTTGAGCTTCATTCAACTTCCCATCAACAGTGAACAGTTGCCCTGGTTCCTGGAATCTCATCCCACGTAGTGCTTTGTTTGTAGGTCCAAAAGATACATAGGATCACAGGCATCATTTTCTAAAGGACTCCCACCAACTTTTGCGTGGCAGGAACAGTCCCCTCCAGTCCCTTTCCGCTCATTAACTTTAGCCAACAGTAACTCAGGTTGGGTGCAGGAGTCTATGTTCAAAGGGTTTTGAGTCAGTGTTTCTTTTTCTTCTCTCCCACTGCTCCCAAGTCCCGCCCATCGGTGAAAAAATCATCAGATCTGTCACTTTAAGACATAATATGATTTGCATTCACTATTCACTGCGTGCATAGTAGCTGGTTAGAAGGGAGACACGCAGAGTGAATTTTAACCAGCAGCTAGTTCGATATAAGTTAGGAGACGGGTTGGTCAAAAAATTTAAACACAGCGTTTAAATGTGTTCTTTTTTTTTTTTTACGGTGTCCTGTCTCGCAATGTGGCAATAAGAATAACGGTCTTGATGCCAAAAAGATCTCAAGAGATTTTACTTTCACAAGTGGAGTAGTACGGCTAACGCCATAGTGTTCCACTTGATTTATGCATATAAATAGCTTTATTATAATTATGCAGGGAGTTTTACAGATTATATGGACACTGAAAAAAGGAGAAAAGATGAAAGAAAGAGGAAATAAAAGGGAGATAACGATAAAACGTCTTCAGTGTGCTTCATCACCTGCAAAGAGGTGTAAATAGAACAGCAATACCAACGAACATGGTACGAGACATAAAATAAAGTAACACCTAGATACCATCACTGAAGCACAAGTACAGGTGCTGGTCATAAAATTAGAATATCATGAAAAAGTAGATTGATTTCAGTAATTCCATTTAAAAAGTGAAACTTGTATATTATATTCATACATTACATACAAACTCATATATTTCAGATGTTTATTTTGTTTAATTGTGATGATTACAAATGACAACAAATGAAAATCTCAAATTCATCATATCAGAAAATTAGAATATTACTGAAGACCAATAAAAACAAAGGATTTATAGGAATGTTGGCCAACTGAAAAGTATGAACATGAAAAGTATGAGCATGTACAGCACTCAGTATTTAGTTGGGCCTCCTTTGGCCTGTATTACTGCAGCAATGCGGCGTGGCATGGAGTCGATCAGTCTGTGGCACTGCTCAGGTGTTATGATAGCCCAGGTTGCTCTAATAGTGGCTTTTAGCTCTTCTGAATTGTTGGGTCTGGTGTATTGCATCTTCTTCTTCACAATACCCCATAGATTTTCTATGGGGTTAAGGTCAGGAGAGTTTGCTGGCCAATTAAGAACAGGGATACCATGGTCCTTCAATCAGGTACTGGTAGCTTTGGCACTGTGTGCAGGTGCCAAGTCCTGTTGGAAAATGAAATCTGCATCTCCAAAAAGTTGGTCAGCTGCAGGAAGCATGAAGTGCTCTAAAACTTCCTGGTATGTGGCTGCGTTGACCCTGGACCTCAGAAAACACAATGGACCAACACCAGCAGATGACATGGCACCCCAAACCATCACTGACTGTGGAAACTTTACACTGGACTTCAAGCAACGTGGATGAAGTGCCTCTCTTCTTTTCCTCCAGACTCTGGGACCTTGATTTCCAAAGGAAATGCAAAATTTACTTTCATCAGAGAACATGACTTTGGACCACTCACCAGCAGTCCAGTCCTGTTTCTCTTTAGCCCAGGCAAGACGCTTCTGACGCTGTCTGTGGTTCAAGAGTGGCTTGACACAAGGAATGCGACAGCAGAAACCCATGTCTTTCATACGTCTGTGTGTGGTGGTTCTTGAAGCACTCACTCCAGCTGCAGTCCACTCTTTGTGAATCTCCCCCACATTTTTGAATGGGTTTTGTTTCACAATCCTCTCCAGGGTGCGGTTATCTCTCTTGCTTGTACACTTTTTTCGACCACATCTTTTCCTTCCCTTCGCCTCTCTATTAATGTGCTTGGACACTGAGCTCTGTGAACAGCCAGCCTCTTTAGCGATGACCTTTTGTGTCTTGCCCTCCTTGTGCAAGGTGTCGATGGTCGTCTTTTGGACAACTGTCAAGTCAGCAGTCTTCCCCATGATTGTGTAGCCTATAGAACTAGACTGAAAGACCATTTAAAGGCTTTTGCAGGTGGTTTGAGTTAATTAGCTGATTAGAGTGTGGCACCAGGGGCCATCAATTTTGAACCTTTTCACAATATTCTAATTTTCTGATATGATGAATTTGAGATTTTCATTTGTTGTCATTTGTAATCATCAAAATTAAACAAAATAAACATCTGAAATATATGAGTTTGTATGTAATGTATGAATATAATATACAAGTTTCACTTTTTAAATGGAATTACTGAAATCAATCTACTTTTTCATGATATTCTAATTTTATGACCAGCACCTGTAGTATTATTCAAACTGACATGCACTCTGTGGTACCTGCAGATAAGAACATGGGCTTTCTGTATGTGTGTGTAATATGTTTTTCTTTACTAGTTAAAAAAGCTGTGCTTCTTAGAGGACCATGACTCATAGTTACAGGTTAAAATGAACACATATCTGTTGTTTTCTTATTGAACAGACCGAATCAGGTGGCAGAGCTACAAGGCCTACCTTCTTGACCATAGCTGTGGAAACAGCAAAAAGGCCCATATCTACTAAAGGTTTTCCAATTTATTTAAATATGCAACACCCAGTTAGGAGGTGTGTCTTCAGAAGTCTCAAGCTGCAATAGCCTTCCTTTCTTAGCCATACCACAGCACTTCCATATAAGTTGATGGTAGGCCATCTCAGGTCATGATAGGTCAAGGAACGAAAAAGTCCCTTTGGCGGACTTGCTACTATACATATGCTTAACCAGTAACAGAAAATTATAAATAAAAATAAATAATTAATCTTCAATAATATAGTTTGTGCAATCTGTGTAATCCATTCAAAATTTTGGGGTGCGAACAGTTCTTGTGTTGAGGTCAGCCGTCATGGCATTAGCCTTTATGTTGGTTGGTTATTTTTTGTGCTTTAAGATATTGTGAGGGATCAGACAGAAGGAGGTTGTGGGACAAACAGTTCAACAAACATAGTTCCTTTGTTGTTTTTTAACACTATTAACAATCTAAAACTTTTAACACTAGGTCTCTCTGTTGAATCTGTTCAATTAGTAGAAAAACACTTCAATTAGTGGAGACATTTTGAGCCGCCGTAAGTTTGTTAATATTCTTTGTATCACCTAAGGGGTAACCCCCTTGTGCTGAAAACCCAGTGACGCCTCTGATCGGATGTAAATTATATTGTAATAAGTGGCTTCTAAGTTATTTGGATTTGTGATATTGCTTCTTACTCAATATAGCCTGACAATTGTATATTCCATGGCAAAGTACTGCAAATGTCATGCTGTTTGTTTTTACTATCTTCCAGATCCCGAGTCACATCTCAGCCTTGGGATGTTGGATAACAACTGTTCTTTCGATCCAATGCCTGGGATCGATGAAAGGTTTTGTCCTACAGGACAGGAGTGCATCAATATGACCTCCGGCATGAATATCAGCCAAACTGGTATGGATGATGCATGTTTGACAGAGGAAGGATATCTGGAAAAATATCTGGGCCCTCGACGATCACCTGTGTTCCTGCCTGTCTGCCTCATTTATCTTCTCATCTTTTTGATTGGCGTTGTGGGGAATGTGCTAACATGCACAGTTATTTCACGCAATAAGGTCATGTGGACACCAACAAACTACTACTTGTTCAGCTTGGCCATTTCAGACCTGTTAGTGCTACTGCTTGGTATGCCACTGGAGCTGTATGAACTTTGGCAAAACTACCCATTTCTCTTAGGAAAGGGAGGCTGCTACTTCAAAACGTTCCTTTTCGAGATGGTCTGCTTGGCCTCCATTCTTAATGTAACTGCCTTGAGCATTGAGCGCTACATTGCCGTGGTGCACCCACTGAGGGCAAAGTATGTTGTGACACGTACTCATGCCAAGAAGGTCATCCTCACTGTGTGGGGCATATCGGTGCTGTGTGCTGTGCCTAACACGAGTCTGCATGGGATCATAACCCTTCAGATTCATTCAACTGGTCCTTCTGGTAACATAAACCTTGAGATTCCCGACTCGGCTATCTGTACTTTAGTGAAATCACGTTGGATGTACAACCTCACCATCCAGCTCACCACCTTTGTGTTTTTCATTTTGCCCATGATCACAATCAGTGTTCTCTACATGTTGATTGGGCTGCAGTTGAAGCGTGAAAAGATGCGGCAGAGGCTGGAGGCCAACTCTGGCTTCGGAAGTGACAGCTTTTGTAACATCCGTACCCAGCAGCAGAAGGCAAGACGCCGACAGGTCACAAAAATGTTGTGTGAGTTAACATTTTTACATTTTCAGCTTTCTAAAAATAGAATTTTCATTCTTATAAAATGATGTATATAGTTACATCAAGATAACTTCACTAAAGGCAGATTTTATTTGTTCTTTTCAACAGCCAACAGCAGCTAAAAGTCCATTTTAAATTCTCCTTTTAAAACTCCAAGGAGGAAAGCCTTCATTCATTTTTCAAACATTTTAAACATAAGAGGTCAATAACCATTGTTTTCAGAATCCAAGGTGTACAAATTAATCAAATAAAATCACAGATGCAGAAAGACCAAACGCTGGGATTCAAACTTGGACCAATTAGCTGCAAAGCTTAAGTGTTACCAACTGCATCACCATGAGGGATCAACTTAAAAAATCAATATATTCATAAGCCTAATATTATTTCTCTTGGGCTTTACCCGTCTTTTTTGTATTCATATTGCAAAACTATACCTTAGAGTATAAAGTGCTTTATAAGTATAATTAGAATATTGCAGTGATATTTTCATTATTTCAAAGCCAAAATGTTTACACAAGGAGAAGTTTATATAGATGAAACATCTAAGCGGTCTGGTATTTTGCTAGACACATTAAGGATGACAGCTTGAAAAATCCTTATTCTATTGTTACTCAGGTATTGGTTCTAAATGCTTTCCAATCCTGATGCATATTTAATCCTTTTGCAGAGCTCTTGCATGAGAGCTTCTCTTAAACCACAGGAGGACCTGAGTAGGAGCTCTGGGGGCCTCACAACAGGGATAAAGTACACACTTCATGCACTTTCTGTTATTAGATATCTTTTATCCTGATGTGCAGGATTAAAACAAATCTGAGGCTCCAGGATAACTAATAACCTAATTCATAATGGAAGGAAGGCCCTCAGAGGGGCTGTTTAGTTCAGGCAAAATATGCTGGCAGTTATTGACTTCCTTTTGAGTTCCTGACCACAACATCTAATTCCCTTCCTTTTCCCTTTCTTTAAGTTGTATTAGTGGTGGTTTTTGGAATCTGCTGGGCCCCGTTTCACACGGATCGCCTCATGTGGAGTTTCATCAGTGACTGGACCGATAGCCATCACGAAATCTTTGAGTATGTACACATCATCTCCGGCGTGTTTTTCTACCTCAGCTCAGCAGTCAACCCAATCCTTTACAACCTCATGTCCACACGCTTTAGAGAAATGTTCAAAGAAGTCATGTGCCATCGGCCACATCACATCAGCCCAAGAAAACACTCTCTGAGTGTGACCAGAGTGACACTCCGCAGCACACTAAGTGACGCACCTCTCAGCAACGGAACCACTGTTGCTGAGGCTGACATTGTGGCAGATGGCGAAGGAAAACTAAAAGATGAGACCTGTTTTTCGTGTTAAAGAAAAAAACTTGGGACATGTGAAAGAGGTGGAATTGTTGTAAAGTCTGTTATTTGAAAGTATCTGCTTGTTGCTATGCTTGCTGTTCCATAATGTCATCTGCCTTCTGCAGAAGATTCTACACAGGTATGTCAAGAAAATACCTGTGCAGAAGAATTACGTTAAAGCAGAACACTTCAGTTATGTGGAAGGTTGCATATAAAAAAGTAAGTAATCCATTTATTATCTAGTATGAGATCTAACAATTTTTCTTAATACATTGTGTTATATTATTTAAATAGCTATTAAAGCTTGATGACTTGATGGGACATGAATGTATTTAAGGGTGTCTACTTTAGTTCCACAGTCATGCATGTCTAAACTATAATCTGTTGCTTGGTGTTTTCAAAGAATTGGTCCTTTAATTTCAAACCAGTTATATTTCAGAACTTGGAAGCAGTTTAAAGGTTTGTCCTAAATTATTAAAGTGGAGGTAGGATATTCACCACACAACCTTTCAGGAGAACTCCCATTAGAAAAAACTGAACTATGTTTTGGGGACTGTGATGAATGTTTAAGACTGATACTTATTGAAAGTGCTGTGCACAGAATTTTTGAAAAATGGGGCAGGTAAAAAAAGGGCATATATAATGTGTCTGCACCACTCTTGAGGGCACTCCAGCAGATGTTTTGGCCCCCTAGAGGGCAGTTTAACTTGTGTTTTGGCTCCCAAGAGGGCACGTTAGTGCACATTTTGGCTCCCGGGAGGGGACTTTAGTGCTATTTAGTGCCACTTAGTGCCATTTTTCAACAATTAACCCCCCCCACCCCCCACCCCCACCCCACCCCACCCGTCCCAAAGCGCCTCTTTGAACATCTTACATGTACACTTTCACAAATTGTGTGGTCCAACAATTGCTACGACTTCTCCAAATAGTGCAGTGTCTTTTTTCTGTATGTTTAGAATTTGGATGTATTTTAGAAAACTGCTATACATGGATAAAGAAAAAAAAGCAGCCATGAAGACTTAGTAGCAGGTGTTTTGAAAAAAACGTGTGTTACTGTGTAAGTTTACCAAATCTGTGCTTGTATCTGGTTTGTTTTTGATTTAAGAAGGTGTTGTCTGATGTTGTGTTTTTTATTCATTTTTATGATACTTTCATGCCTTATTACTGTATGTATGTAATAATTTAAAAAAAGTAATAATTCTTAATGAAACTTTAGTGTGTTTCTTTTTTCTACCTTAGTAATGTTCAAAAATAGCACACAATATATTCAATCTTATGGACCCAGTTCCTTAATTCTCAAAGTAAGGTGGGGACTACAGAATAAAAGCCTCTAAAGAGTGAAAAAAAAGTTTATTGAAAAACAAAAATCAGTTGCATGAATGCAGGCCTGTGATGAATGAATGTACTCGCAGTTTTCAGTTTTTAACCTTTGAAAGTTATTTATCTCCTGGGGTTTCATTTATAAAACATGTGTATAATTCATACTAAAAGTGTAAGGCAAACACTCGAAAACTGAGCAAAGCACAGCTTGAATGTTAATGTGTATTTAAATGAGCCAGCTGATTATTGTTATTTAGTGGTTATCGTGGCAACTGCAGAGAGCAGAAAAGAATTTAGTATGGTGTTGATGTTTAAGGTAGAAAGATAAATATATATGGTAGCCACAGTAAATAAAAAAACTAAACAATTAAAAGTGAAAAAAGATTCAAATATGCCTCTGCATGGCTACCCTGAAAGACGCACAGCATTTGTCTGCAGCCTCTGGTGTCTGTTCTGCTTCATTCACTCCTCACTCTGGTTTCTTTTTTGATCAGCAGATTGAGACTTTGATCGAGGCATGGTTCCCTTTTCTTGTGTTCTCGTCATTTTTGCCTTCAGTGCTAATAGGGATTCTTAAGTTTTGATCTGAGCTTGAAGGGAGATTTTGGGTGTGACAGCAAAATCGCTGTTTTAATATATTCCAAATATGTTCGATACCACGATTGTTTTTATGATTCAATGGAGAGTAAAATACAGTCAGGTATTGGCATACAAGGAAAATTATAATTTAATGCCAGTGATGAAACAAGAAGTAATTACATTATTCACCAAACCAGGAAAAGACTAAAGATACACTATATTGCCAAAAGTATTTGCTCACCCATCCAAATTATTGGAATCAGGTGTTCCAATCACTTCCATGGCCACAGGTGTATAAATTCAAGCACCTAGGCATGCAGACTGTTTTTACAAACATTTGTCAAAGAATGGGTCGCTCTCAGGAGCTCAGTGAATTCCAGCGTGGAACTGTGATAGGATGCCACCTGTGCAACAAATCCAGTCGTGAAATTTCCTCGCTCCTAAATATTCCACAGTCAACTGTCAGCTGTATTATAAGAAAATGGAAGTGTTTGGGAACGACAGCAACTCAGCCACGAAGTGGTAGGCCACGTAAACTGACGGAGCGGGGTCAGCGGATGCTGACGCGCATAGTGCGAAGAGGTCGCCAACTTTCTGCAGAGTCAATCACTACAGACCTCCAAACTTCATGTGGCCTTCAGATTAGCTCAAGAACAGTGCGCAGAGAGCTTCATGGAATGGGTTTCCATGGTCGAGCAGCTGCATCCAAGCCATACATCACCAAGTGCAATGCAAAGCGTCGGATGCGGTGGTGTAAAGCACGCCGCCACTGGACTCTAGAGCAGTGGAGACGCGTTCTCTGGAGTGACGAATCGCGCTTCTCCATCTGGCAATCTGATGGACGGGTCTGGGTTTGGCGGTTGCCAGGAGAACGGTACTTGTCTGACTGCATTGTGCCAAGTGTAAAGTTTGGTGGAGGGGGGATTATGGTGTGAGGTTGTTTTTCAGGAGCTGGGCTTGGCCCCTTAGTTCCAGTGAAAGGAACTCTGAATGCTTCAGCATACCAAGACATTTTGGACAATTCCATGCTCCCAACTTTGTGGGAACAGTTTGGAGCTGGCCCCTTCCTCTTCCAACATGACTGTGCACCAGTGCACAAAGCAAGGTCCATAAAGACATGGATGACAGAGTCTGGTGTGGATGAACTTGACTGGCCTGCACAGAGTCCTGACCTCAACCCGATAGAACACCTTTGGGATGAATTAGAGCGGAGACTGAGAGCCAGGCCTTCTCGTCCAACATCAGTGTGCGACCTCACAAATGCGCTTCTGGAAGAATGGTCAAAAATTCCCATAAACACACTCCTAAACCTTGTGGACAGCCTTCCCAGAAGAGTTGAAGCTGTTCTAGCTGCAAAGGGTGGACCGACGTCATATTGAACCCTATGGATTAGGAACGGGATGTCACTTAAGCTCATATGTGAGTCAAGGCAGGTGAGCAAATACTTTTGGCAATATAGTGTATATTCATAATCAAAGGCCAATAACTTTTGGCCGACTGACCCCAACTGTACACTTGACATGATTACTTAATTAGCTGATCACCATTTTAAAGAAATAATCAGTCCTAATAATCTGATAGATTTTTAAACCCCTATTGAAATGCTTTTAACTGTTTTGACTTGGTGAAAGAGAATCACTATGTTTTAGTGAAAGTTTCAACAGGAATTTCAGTAGCCTACTACCTCTGGTTGCATCTCAGGGACCATATATGTCACAGTCGTACCTTGTAAGGGATAGGTGAAGATAGACATACAGTACAAACACACACTAATGTGAACGCAGGACCTGTGAATATAACAACACTTGCTCCTGGGTGCTATTTAGCCATAAGTCACTCATTTCAATTACAAATAAAGTAAGAAACTGACTTCAGTACACAGATGGCAAGAGTAACTCCAGAGTAATCTAGAAAAAATATAAAGATTCTGTCATTTTAATCTAAATGTTTCCAGTCCCAAATAAGTTTTTAAAAAGTCAAGCAGGTTGTTCAGTGATTTTCAGTACAAAAGATTCAAATGTATATTTAAAAAAAAAGAAATAAAGCATCATTACGTCATGTTTATATTGGAATAGTGGAGACAAGTGTTTACTGAAGCAGGTGTAGAGAAAGGCAGAACAGAGGTAAAGAGGTTGATGATTGGCCTCTCTGGTAAAGCATATCTCAAGTTGCTCTCCCATCAAGGTGCAAAGTAAGTCGATAAATGCTCAACCAAAAACAAGGACCTGCAGAAATACCCTTTAATCTTGCTCTCTTAAATCTTTAATTATGCAAAAGCTCAAAGAAGAGCTATGTGAAAGCATAAACAAGCATACAGTTGTTGCAAATTACGAAGTGTTTGATCAACTCTAGTGGGTTTAATGTAGAACAAATGTTGGTTTTTGATCTTCATTGTAGCTTGTATTCTATAGGGCAACTTTGTTAGGTACAATTACAGTTAGACTGGCTTTGTTGGGGCTCTTAAATATAAGGAATGACACGCACTAAGGAAAATTATTTCTAAACAGAACTGAACCAAGTTCAAATGCAGGCTCATCCAGCTCGCTAAAACGTGTGGAGTAAATGCAATGTGATGTGTCAAGTCTTCAATCTTATCGAATCAAAGTAAGGCTGTACTGGAATTAAATGTCAAACTCATGATGGATCCAGAGATCACCTTGCAATCTGTCACATGGAGTATAAGAACTGTAGCCACAATGAGAAGTTTAGACACTTTGGCTTATATATACCATGGTAGATATTTAATTTAACTGAGACAATGGTATTACGAAAAATCAAAGTCAATTTTCCTATTATTTTATATCAACAGAAACCCGTTTGAGTGAGCTGTAATATATGAAGCCCATCCACTCATCTCCATTGTATGTTGTATTCTACTTTGCTCATTTTGAAGATAAATTCTACAAACAAATTAAAACAAAGTCACTATCTCAGATAAGTCATCCGCTAATAAAAAAAAACTATGTAATTTCAGCTGTTTAGTTTGCATGAAGTGACACCCTTCAGCATTTACCTTGGTGGAGAAAAAAAAAAATGATGATACTCTCCTTTTGTTGAGTGCTGGTGTCAGAAGCTTCAGTGCAGAGGAAAAGTAAAGTTAAAACCACAATACCTCGTTTGAAAAAAGCCCCAGAGCATCTGGAAAGTCGTCCCATAACTCCCAAAGAACTGAAGCATGGACATTCTGTCATTCTTCAGATCCTCCCCTGATTCCAAGGCTGCTGCTTGGAGGACAAAGTTGTTGACTGGAGCACTGAGTAAAACCTTTAACTGCCCCACCTAGGCTGCCAAGATAAGCGTTCCAGCCCTGTTCTTCGGTGGGCTTTGGTGCTCCCCAGCCGGTGCATCCTCTTGTCTTCCTGAACAAGATTGAGGCATACCTAAGGGTGGCAGCCAGGCTGTGAAAAAGAGGTTGTCTAGTTGACAAAGCCTGTCCTCTCTAATGGACAACAACAAAAAGCTGAGGTTCATGCAGGTTTGTCAGAGACTTCCTGAGATGAGCAACACACAGGCATTTGAAGCACAGATCACGACCATCCTCTACCTGGAGATGGACCCCATATAAAGTGCATGCCAGCATCCTAATAACAGTTGTGCGAAATGTGGGCAAGCACCACGCAAACTTAGCAAAGATTTCAATAAAACTGAAGAACCAGATAAGAGATCTTGATTAATTGATAATGTGGCCACATATACATGTGTGTATGTGTATATTTTGTGCCTGAATGTAGCCTTCCACTTGCTATTTATTTATATGTTTTTGTGTCATGTGCTTGACTTTGTTTACATTTAATCTCTACTTGCACAGAGAATGAGGAAACACATTCACTCTTTTCACTGCTCCTGGCAGTCAGGAAGGAATGAAACACAACCAAAGTTTATCTTAAAAGAATTTGTAATGGGGTCAAAATAGCTTTAAA